TTAAAGAATTTTGTCTTCAACCTACCCAAATAGTAGGAATCAGATATTCCACCGCACACCTCTCGTACTTCTCTCGTTCCCCATCCATTGGGATAGATGGCGCCACCAACGACTATCATAATAGCTGAAAAAAAAGCAAATATATGTATTAATATGCTTCGTACTACGCCTGTCAAATACAGTAATTATGTACTAGCATGTGTTTTACAAAATTTATTCTTGTTAAAGATAAAGTTAGTAAAAAAATTCGTTCCCCCAGGGAAAAAAGATTCTGTTTTTCATATCACCTCTACTTTCTCAAACAATACTCAAACGTCAACAACTGGGTAAAACATCAAAAACCTACTCAGTATAATTCAGAAGTACTTTACGTAGTGAAAGTTATGAAGTAATCGCAAAACAATAGTTTTTAGAGTATTAAAGTCTCAAAGGATTAGATCTTTACTTGAAAAAAAACAACAAAAAGCACAAAGCATTGTATAAGATCACAAACTTACAGTGGAGTTTTACCAAAAGGTTCGTTCTCATATATCAAACCGAAGAAACGACCAAAGCATTTTAAGAAACGTCCATACCATCACCAGTAATGCTCAGGGTATTCAGACAACGTATATCGTTGACACAACACTTCACATTTACATGTTTTTTTAACAATGACTGGTGTGAAAACAAGTGTGTTACTTTTTTACTGATCTTGGAATAAAATACATTTATTACACTTGCATACATCTTTTTCTTGTCCATACTATCAACTCATATTTGCTGCTCATAGCCCTCCAAATTGTATATTTTATAGAGTTTGTTGTCCTAACACAACAGTATTTTCTTTATAACAATGAAATGCGAAGTAGTTATCCTTAGTTCTTCAAAATCGTATATTTTATAAAGATTGTTGTCCTAACACAGCAATATTTCGTTTATAACAATGAAACGCGTAGTAGTAATCATGATTCTTCAAAGTATATTTTGAATAGCCTGTTGTCCTGACTAATTTTATTTGTAAGAATGAAATGCTTAATAGTTAATCACGGTTCTACAAAATATGTATTTTAAATAACTCGTTGTCCTAAAACATCGATTTCTGGATCATATCTATGAAAGCTTGCGTTTTGAATAGTAACTCGTGGTCTTCTAAACTGTATGTCTCAAAGAGCTTGTTGCCCTAGCACAACGATTTCTCCTTTGTAATAATGACATGGATGGTAATTACTTATGGTAATGACATGGATGCTAATTACTTATGGTAATGACATGGATGGTAATTACTTATGGTAATGACATGGATGGTAATTACTTGTGGTAATGACATGGATGGTAATTACTTATGGTAATGACATGGATGGTAATTACTTATGGTAATGACATGGATGGTAATTACTTGTGATATTTCAAACTGCATATCTATATAAGTATAACAGTACTGTCTGTTGTATGTCCATGTAACTACTTTACAGGGTGTGGATGGATCTTTACCGAAATTGGTATGGAGGTTCATTCGGTCTATGCAGGGGTACATACAAATTTTCAGTTTTGCATTTTCATTTTTTTACCACTATTTCGCCCCCTATTAATGGAACTTCACCAAATTTGATATGGAGGTTTATTGGATCCATGGAGAGATACATACAAATTTGCGGTTTCGCAATTTGGGTTTTCCAGTTTGTATGGGCGTTTTTTACAATTACATATAAGGGAA